CTCCTGGGCTCAAGCGAATCTCTTGCCTCCGCCTCCCAAGTAGCTGGGACCACAGGCGCCTGCCACAACGCCTGGCTATTTTTTGGTTGCAGCCATCACTGTTGTTTGGCGGGTCCGGGCTGGGGATTCGAACCCCCCACCTTAGGTGTACGTGGCTGGCGCCTTAGCCGGTTGAGCTATAGGCGCCGAGCCCTTCTGACCTTTTCTTATGAAAAATTGGGGTGAAGGTGCACCCCCAAACCTTTTTGCATTGCACACCGTGCCCTCTTTTCTTACCAAAAATGTCCTCCCCCTTTCCCGTGGTTTCTCCTTGGAGTTACCAGAACGCCGCGTGGGGCTCTTTGTGAGCAATGAAGGGGAGAAAGCTCTAGACACCCCAGATCTCTCATTCTTTAAATAAAGTCTTTAAGGGAAATAGTCATTTATTATATGAAATTAGTAACTGGATTAAGTCACTTAGTAAAAATTGAGTGTGAGGGCGGCACTTGTGACTGAAAGAAGTAGGGAGTAGGGCGCTGGCCCCATATGCTGGAGGTTAACCCGGCCTTGGCCAAAAAAACCCCCCAAAAAAACAAAAAACAAAAACAAAACAAAAACAATTTGACTGAGTGTGGAAGTGGGTGAACTTTGACACACTGCCAGGTCACTCAAACGTAAAAACAGGCTGGTCTATGGGAGCCTTTGCTCTTTTCTTGGTCCTGAAGCAAAAGGATGAGGTAACCTATTAAAGTTTTTATGCCAGCAGCTAAATAACAAAAGGGCGTATCATTAGTAAAGCTGCTAGAAACCCAAGGCAGATTGTAGTTCTGGATTCAGATACTTAAGGTGGTTTAAATCCCTCGGCCTCTTGAGCAGCTGATAAGCAGTCATTTTCTTATATTTACTCGTGCACAAGTACTGAATGGTAAAAAAGTAAATATGGCATACCATTAATACAGTGAAAAAATATGTTCAGAGTGACCAAGCAGCACAGGAATACCTGGATCACCTGTTAAACAAAAATGTTAAAACAACAGACAATGGTGGGCATCAGTCTCTATTTAGGAAGGTGTTTTTGATTAAAAGGTTATTGTATACTGTATTTTTTTTTTTAAATGAAAATAAACAACAGAAGCAGGTGAGGGATCAGGAAGTGTGTTCTAGGAATGAAGAAGTGTTCTGCTGGGTGGCTTTTTAAAATGTTGCCTCTAGGCTGGGCATGGTGCCTCACACCTGCAATCCTAGCACTCTGGGAGGCCGAGGATTGCCTGAGCGCAGGAGTTCTGGAACAACCTGAGCAAGAGGTAGCAGGTGCCTGTATCTCAGCTACTTGGGAGGCTGAGGCAAGAGGATCACTTGAACCCAAGAGTTTGAGGTTGCTGTGAGCTATGATGACACCATAGTACTCCAGCCTGGACAACAGAGTAAGACTAAAAAAAAAAAAAAAGGAATAAAATACTGCCCTCAATTATTGTCCTAAGCCTTTCTTACAGAATCTATGGACATGGTCTTTGGGAAGACAAAGAACGTATCTCTAGACCAGGCGTCCTCAAACTGCAGCCCTCCTAGGACATTTATCTGGCCTGCGGGGTGTTTTTGCTGCTGCTGCCCTTCTTGCTTAGGAGCCAACTCGTCCCGGGCCCGCAGTCCGGCCGTCTAATGGTCTGAGGGACAGTGAACTGGCCCCTGTTTAAAAAGTTTGAGGACCCCTGCTCTTGGGCTGCCTCTGTGGAATGCTCTCCTTGTCATTAGATGTTAAAAATGCAATGTTGTTCATCCACTATAACACCATTCTTGTGATATGTATATTGTGTATCGGATAACTTAATATTTTTGGTAACTACTAAATCTATGGATTTTTTTTGTGTGCACATGTCATTTTTCTATTTTACTTGCAGACACTGAGAAATGTACCACTCAGCACTATATATAATGTATACCGTGTCTCCATTTATCACAGCTTTTCTCAGGCATTTCTTTCTTTTTTTAAGTTCTTCTCTTAATAATTACTCTACTGCCCGCATCTTTTCACATGCGGCTTGATGATGCATGATGAGGCCAGTAAAGGGCAGTCACACTCAGTTCCTGGGCCCCTGACTCGAGGATGCCAGCAAAGCATGGAGTCAGCAGATGCCTTGTTGCCAACCCAGTCAGCCATGGATATAACTGGACTCTGCCCCAGTCTGTCCACATCAAGGGCTGTAATGGTTAAACAGTGGCCCTGAAGAATAGTCTGTACTATTCTAGGCAGTCTTTACTCTCTTTCCTTCTTCACCTGCCTCCCACCCTTCCCATTCTGAGTTTCCAAGTCAACTATATGACTCCATATAACCTGTATACTCATTGCTTATCTCCACATATAAGTGAATACACAAGGTATTTCTTTTTTCACTTCTCAATATATGTGTACTTCACTCAGGATAACACACTCCAGTTCCATCCAAGTTGCTGCAAATCACTTTGGTTCATTTTTTCATGCTTGAGTAGTATGTCATAGTATATTTACAACACATTTTCTTTACCCACTTATCAGTTGATGGGGATGCAGGATGATTCTATATCTTTGCAGTTGTGAATTATGCTGCAATAAACATGTGAATGCAGGTGCCTCTTTATATAATTACTTGCTTTTCTGTAAGTAGGTACAAAGTAGTGGGATTGCTGGATTGAGTGGTAGATCTATTTATAGTTCTTTAAGGAATCTTTATACTGTTTTCTTTCTTTTTTTTTGACACTATCAAAATTGGCTTTAATAAAATTTGGGGAAAGATACCACACTTTTAGTGAATGACAAGAAACATTTTTATAGTAGTAGTAGGCTTTTATTTTTAATATCTATTATGCCATGAATTCATTGGGAAAATGTTCCAGTAGCTCAGGGAGGTGCCTTGCCATTGAATGTGACAAAGCTTTGTATTACTATTATGCCATGAATTCATGAGGAATAGGTGCCAGCACCTTATATCATTGTTACATGGGGTCTATTGGTTATCCTGTGTGCTATGCTGGACACCTATTATGCCATGAATTCATGGGGAATAAATAGGTTCCAGCACCTAATATTGTGGTTTCATTGGTTCTCCTGTGTGCTATGTTATATGCCTATAAGGCCATGAATTCATAGGGAATGGGTTCCAGCAGCTTAGGCCCTTTCTGTTGGTTCTCACAAAGTGGGCTTCTCTGGGTGGAGCAGGCTGGCACTTCAGTTGAACCTAGGTACCTTTCTCTTTGGCTTCCTTCTTTTTCTGATCATTTTCCTTCACGTGTTTCAGGAAGCTGTCTTGGCTCTTAGAGTGCTTAATATGCTCAATATGAACATTAATCCTCTTGGCAAGAATCTTGCCCTTAACTTGTTTGTTTACAACAACGCGAATAGCATGCTGGGTAACATTGTGGACTCTTCCAGTTTTGCCATGGTAACATCTGTGAGGCATGCCTTTTTGAACAGTACCCATTCCCTTGATCTATAAGATCACCTTTCTTGTAGATTCGCATATATGTGGCCAAAGGAACACCATGTTTTCTAAAAGGCCTAGAGAACATGTATTAGGTGGGTCTCCTCTTTCCCTTTGTGTTTGTCATTTTGGTGAATTATTGGAAGATGGTGTCTCCGGCTGAAAGGCTTTTTTTTTTTTTTAGAGATAGTCTCACTCTATCACCCAAGGTAGAGTGCCCCTGGTGTCATCATAGCTCACAGCAACCTCAAACTCCTAGGTTCAAGAAATCCTCCTGCCTCAGCCTCCCAAGTAGCTGGAACTACAGGTGCCAGCCACCACACTTGGCTAGTTTTTTTATTTTTAGTAGAGA